TGCGCATGTTGTAAGAACGAAAAAATAAATAATTTTATGATGAAAATTATGTAAATTAAAAGTTTGTATAATTAACAGATCTATCGTCATGGTCATCGAAATACTATTAGTCATCCGGAACTTTATCCAAATGATCCATATATTAATGAAACTCATTGGCCTGGTGGATTTGGAGCACTCACAAATGTAAATACTTTTGATTGTACATCAACAAAAATGTTTTTAGATAAGAACTTTCGTTGACAGGAAGGTAAAAGACAACATTTCAAATTGGGTCAATACTTCCGAAGAAGATATCACAAACTTCTTGGTGATAAATATTCACCAAAAAGAGTGTACGTACGTTCGACTGACAAAGATCGCACTTTGATGTCGGCACTTGCCAATTTAGCAGGTTTATTTCCACCACACGCTGAAGAGAAATGGAATGAAGACATTGCATGGCAACCGATTCCAGTTCACACAATACCTCTGAATTTGGACTATGTATTGCGTGGACCAGATGATTGTCCAAGATATTCTGCCGCTTTCAAGAAATACAAAAATGAATCATCAGAATTGAAGCGAATTCTTAAAGAAAATAAAGAAAATATCTTGTACTGGTCGAAAATGTGCGGATCGAATTTAACCACCATTGAAGAGATTACCCAGTTATATGGGATACTCATTGTTCAAAAAGAACATAATAAAACGTAAGTAATGAACAATGGCTAGTACCACAAATTCAAATCACATGTTCATTAATTCAATCTATTTTGAAGGCTCTCCGATTGGGTACAAAAAGCAATCGAACCAAATGGTGCTTTGGGGTCCATTGCTTTTTTTCGATATAAAATGAGATCGAGTACTAAAGAATTGGCTCGATTGTGGTCTGGATTTTTTATTAAAGAAATGTTTGAACGTTTCGCGCAAAAGATAAACTCAACGTTGGAGCCAAATCGTTCATTGTGGTCCTACTCAGCGCATGACAATACGATTGTTGGTCTTTTGAATAGTCTTG